CCGTTGGGGTTCAGAATTGAGGGTGGGAAGGAAAGGAGTTAAAGAGGGATTAATCCTCCCCCACCCAACTTCAAACTTTAGAACTGCAATCGCCTGCAGCCTAGGGGGGTGTCCCCCAAGTCCCAGCCCTGACAGCTCCAGCTCTGGGATCTGGAGCCAGAGGAAGAGAGGTTGGCAGGTTGAGATGGGAACTTGTAGCCCTGGTAACCGTGTATTCCCTTGATGGAATTTTACATTAAAGTGTCCCAAGCTCTGGGAGCAATGAGAATTTTACTTAGAAGAACATAGGGTAGAGGGAGCATCCACCTCTTAGGAGGTAAAGCCCAGTGCTTTCAGTCCTAGAAATCCAATGTCCTTTTCTGGATTATCATTCATATTAAATGTCCTGGGAGATGTTTTTCTTTTTGAAGTAAATACTATAACAATGCCTAAGGAAGACAACTTGGACATTTTAACCAGCATATGAGACTTATTAATTCCTATCTCAAAAAATTATGATTAATTCCTCAGCTTCAAGAATTTGGAGACATGTGTCTATAGCATGTAAAACTTTTAAACTGCCTAACGTCAGGCTCTTATTTTCCACTATTTATTGTATTTTAACCAATTTAACTCCAAACAAAAAGAAAAAATTGTGGGGAGAAATTGAAAGTAAAGGTCTTGTCTTGCCCCATTACCTCCCACCTGTCACACACTCTCCTCCCCCGAAGAGAAATCCTCCTGTCACTGTGACTTCCAGTTGAAAACAGAAAGGAAATAAGATGACTTCTGGAAAAAGCTGTCCATTGTGTTCTTAATTATTTTTTTTTCAGTACTTAAATATGCCCAGAGAGTGACGGCATGAAAAAGCTGAATGAAGAGTCAGCTGAAAGTATCACCTAGACTTGCTTGTTAGAGAATTCTAAGGTAGACATGTGTGCATACTTATGCGTAAGGGCAAAATAACCCACCTAATCACCTAATCCCATGTATGGGAAATATTTATGTATATATCCATGAACTGAAAAATCTTTAAGTACATGTGTGCAGAGATTCAGTTCTATGAAAGCTCAGCTAGCTGTCCGCATGCATGTATTCACTCCTGGAGTAAAGGCATTTTTGTTGCTCCCATAGTTTCTTTCCATTAAGAGCGATTAGATGATGTCTATTCAAAGTTGCTGATCCAGAGAGAAAATAAGAGTAGATAAAAGGAGATTTCAAGTGACCTCCTCGTCCCTTTCACACCAACCTGAGCCCTAGAATAGCCAAGGATCAACTAACACAAAAGCCCTTTCCTTTCTCTTTTCAGCTTCAGAAGATTTTATGCAGGGGGGTAACAATAAAACATAGAACGATCCCCGAGTTTTGTTAGATCATGCATTTGGAATACTTTATTAACTCCCCCCAAAGATGGGCTAGGTTTATGTTCCACCTTTGAAATGGGTAAATAAAATATACATAGCATAATTGTTTACTGTTCTATTGCTTATATCAGTGTTGTACTATGCTTATGCTTTTTTTTTTTTTAAACTTTACCTAAACCCCTCTCTCCTCAATGATGGAGGACATTGTAATAAATATATCTTTCCACTGACAGTTTAGACGAAATGTTAGGTTTATTATTTAGATCAACCTTCTGATAGGTATATACCATTGCAGCATGACTGGTAACACCAGCAGATCTGCTGGCTTTTTGAGCCAATACTTTTCCACTAGTTTATCTCATAGGCAGTAAAGAAAGTGACATTAAAGACTTAAACATATTAGAGCAGTCTTTAGTCAGTAAAATATCCAACTCAGATCTACTTCTGATGGGCTAATCCTGTAGTAAAAGAAATAGGTGCTCTGACAGGTAACTATTAAGGGAAATGATTATATAGAGCAGTAGAGCAGTTGATTTTATTGTCAGGGTACTCCAACAACCTTCAAACTCATTTCAAAACTTCAACTTTCATCCAGACCTAACCCATAGGGAAGAATAGCCATGCAGTTTTATTCTTCACTCAAGCTGGGTATCTAAAATAAATACATTTTGTAACATAAAAGTCTGCAATTATTTCCTTTCTTTCTTTTTGCATAAATGCATTTAGATAGCTAAGACTTGATTTTTATAAAAAGTAAATATTTGGCTCTGGTTTCACTGGTGTGCTGAGAATGATTGTCACTTTTCCTCCTCTAAAAAGGCTTGATTTGCATCCAAAGGTCAGTGCTTGCTCTCCTGCCATCCTTCCTCCTGCTGCTTCTCCTGGGCCCTCTAACTGGGGGCCTAGGCCAAAAGGGGAAGTGCTTCCCTTATCTCTCTTTTTCAAAACACGTGCTTTAAATGACCGGTTTGAGATAGAAAACTAAACTAAGGTATAGCACTTAACTCTGAGCATTTCAACCCAAAGGTGACAAAGAAGAAATGCCTGGGCTACCAGAGCGATAGTAAACACTGGAGTCTGTTGGGTTCACGGTTTGACTACATGTACAGGCTAAGGGTAGGCAGTCCAGCAGAAGCCTGACTCCTAACTTGGCCTGTCCACCTGGTTTTTTGTTGATAAAGGCAGGACTTTTTACAACTGGGCAGCCACAATATAGGCTGGGTTCAGTCCTGGGGGTAAAGATTTCTGAGATAGGCTGGGGTTTAGTTTGTTTGTTTTGGTTTTGTGTTTTAGTAATCACAAAATATTAGATGGGCATTCCTGCGCCTCTCTCCACCCTTTCTTCCAAAAGATCTGTGCGAGACCATTTTAAATACATCTTCAACTATGTCCTTCCTGGCTTTAATCTCATGCCAGGGGAGACTAATTGATTCGGCACCTTTCAAATAAGCTCTTTGGGAAAGGTCTGCAGCAAGATCAGAGGCACTGACCTTTTTCTCAATGATTGCAGGCATGTTCATCTCTCCAGATGGGCTCGATAAAACGGGCTTAGTTCTGTTCTGTGGTCTTGCTAAACAGAATAATACCATTTTTAACGATTTTGAGGTAGGGAAGAGGTAAAAAAGAGAATTTCCTACACATATCTGATCATTTGTAGGGTCCCATGGCTCTTGAACTAGATTTGGAAAATGTTTTTACAAGGTCACTTTTGTTCAGTGTGACTTACCAAAAAGCCAAAATGAATGACTTTCGGGAGACTAAGATATCAATATCAAAAAAACCTATAGAATTAGTGAAAACGGTTCAGCCTCGTAAAGAAAGATATGGAGGGAGGGAGTACCTTAACAGGCTAGACAGTCCGCTTAGATCCGGACTCTAGGGTCTGGAACGCAAGTCATCCCTGAATGTGCAGCCAAACCGATCTGTGCTTCTCTTCCTCTCTCACCAGATCACAACAATTTACTGGGTGGCGAGCTGGGAGAGATCAACCTTTGTCTGGTATGTCTTTTAAAACGTGATTAACGCTGAGCTTGATGCTAGCAGCCCGCAAAGGGTACTATAGGCTTACAGTCTAATTCCTTTCCCCAAGCAGAGCGGTACCTTCTCATTGCCTTTTGGGGGAACTACACTAAAGATCTAGTGTGCACTGAACAGGTCTGTGGGGAACAGGAAGGCAGAGGAAGGAAGGGAGGCTCCCGGGAGCCCAGGCCCCGGTGAGGCCCTTAGAGTTCCCAGACCCGCCAAACCTAGAGAGAGAGCCTGGAGAGGGCTGAGCCCCGGTGGGCCTGGCTGGAGGCCTCAGGTAGGATGCTGAGGCAAAAGCCACAGCGGTCTGAGTCCAAGAACCACGTCCAGACTTAGTTTAAGGTTCCGAGGTGAAGGGCCGGGCCTAGAAGGGAGGAAGATCTGAAGAAGAGTGGGTGGGTGAAATAAAAGTGAGCACTGAAACTGCGTTTTCTGCCCCTGCAGCTGAGCGTGCCTGGACAAGTATGTAGGATTTCCCAATTGGGGGATCTAAGTACTCTCGAAAACTGTGATCAGTTTTCTGTTAGGTATCCTACCCCACAACAAAAGATGATATTATTTCCTGGTTGAGTGTGGGTCGCATTAGGCCCAGGACAAGTGTGCCAAGTGGGACCAGTATCAAACGAGAACCTTGAAGATAGAAAGAAAGGGCTTCCCAGGAACTGAGCTGACCTCTCAGTGCCTCTGGGGAAGACATTTTTGCTGGAGGCAGGGCTATGAGCACAAGTGGGGCGCCCTGTGGGTGTGCCACCGCGGCAGGGGAGCACAGGCTTCCGAAGAGAAACAGCTCTAAGTGCCGCTCAGGCCGGACGAGTTCCAGAGGGGGACAGCGCCCTCCTCGAAAAGGCTTGGTTTCTCCCCGCCCCCTCTTGTGACAGAAAGTTGGCACGGATGCCCCGTAGGAGTGCGAGCCGCTCCCCTCCTCCGAAAAGCCGCGGGCTTCCGCTGCTCCGGGCATCACCACCAACAGCTTCCCACTCCCACCCCTGGGACTAGGACAGGGGACTGCACCCTCCCCCTTCCTTCCGGAGGAGCCTGCGGCTTCGCCTGAGGCCTCGCCGGCCCAACTTCTCCCCACCCCCAGGGTCACGCCGGGTCCCAGGGGCCTCTTTCAAGTTTGAAAGCTCAGTGGGGGCACTGAGAGTCCACAGTAAGGATGGGTGGGCGCCGCTGCTCCCGGGCAGGTTCAGCTGTCATCTTGTCTCGCCTTGGCCCTCGCCTACAGGGCCTGACCCCGGGCCAGCACAGCTAGGCAAGACCGCCTCGCTCCCGAGCCCCCCCAGCCTCCTGGTGCGGTCCCTAGCGTCTGCTGCCCCCGCCCCCCGCGCGCACTCTGACGCAAACGCACGCCCCTGCCCGGCACTGAGGAAAGCGCTCTTGTTGGTTTTAATTGAGCCTCTTCCTTTCAACACACCCGCTCTGTCCCCACCCCTGGGAGGCGACCCCCTCCCCGCCCCCAGTCGGCTGGTAGCAGCGCAGGGAGTCTGGTTCTGCTGCTAGGCTGCGAATCCCGGTGCTCTCTCGCCGCCGCCGCAGGTTGTCTGCTCGGGAGAGCAGCTTGATGTCCCTTTTAATCCGCTGACACTATCGCCCACATCAGACAGGCAGCCATCGATCGCGTTACATTAGGGGATGGCGTTACAAACGGCGCCCGCAGGTGGACGGCTGCAGGCAAGCTCGCCAGGTTCTGGTCGCAACCAGGCAAGGCGCGGGCACAAGGGCCAGCCGGGCCGGACTCCGCAGCCGGCTCCACCGCGGGTTGCGCTCGGCACCAGTAGGAACAGCCCGGCCGGTGTTAAACGGGCGGGTCCCCGTCCCCAGCCCAGGCATCCGTTTCCCGCCGTGGGAGAGAGAGGGAATAGCGGGTGGGGGTGGGGGCAGCTTGTTTTGAATGTGGATCGCTGCTCGCCTGGTACGATCCTCCCCTCCAAGGAGGCGCGGCGGCCGCGATCCTCGCCTTCGCGCCACGGCGAGGCAGAGGCCGAGCGAGGGCAACTCCCGAGCAGGCTCCGCGGAAAGTTCTCCTCGTCCCGCCCTGGCTGCCTAGACTCTGCTCTCGGCCTGCGGAGGCCGTGCGAGCCAAGACTGCCTTCCGGCCCTGCCCGTTACCAACCCCAAGTTGAAGAGAAACGATAACCATTGCGTTACTTGCCTGGTGAGGCAGGATTTGGCCGAGTCTCGTTTCTGGTGCCCACGACGCACGGTCCAGGGTCCGAGCGCGGCTGGGCCCGCGGACCTGGCATCCAGTGTGCCTGCGGTGCCCTGGCGCTCGCTGTTGCTCGTCTCCCACTCCCTCCGTCTCTCTCCGCGTTCTCCTTCCCTCACCCTATCTCCCTCTCTCCGCCTGCTGCCTCAGCCCTCGACTGCCTGCCTCTGACTGTATGGGGAGTACGATTTAGAATCTGTACGTAGAAAGATTTTCTTTTCTTTCTTTGCTTTTGGTCTACTTTAATCGTGTTCGTTTCACCTTTTAACTGACCAGAAGATGGAAGCGCGTTTGCGCGTTTATTTGGGCATAAGGGCGAGGGCAAGGAGCCCCTGCCACCCCCAGTCGCCTCCTCGCCATCAGCTGCGTACAATGGGCCACCGCTCGCGGAGTGCATTGACAGTTCTCCATTATTCGAGCTGGAGGGGCTGTGGGGCAGACACGGGAAAGCCTTTTATTCTGCTCTTTAAAATCATCGCTCGTCACTAAGCGGTCGCCGACTCCCGACTTGTAGGCTGGAGAGACCGGGAAGCGCAAAACGTCCCCCAAACACGCAGTGCTTCCCAAACCCCTCCCTGGTGAGACTTAAAGTGAGAACGAGTATTAAAAAACAAACCCTACCTCTGTCAATGCAGCGTGGCCATTTACTTCCACCTTTACCTGAGGGCATGTTGGCGCTAGGAATGCTCGAGCTGAGACAAACTTTTACGCCCTCGCGAATCGAGGGGCGGGCGGGCGAGCGCTGCTCCCACCCCCGGCGGCGGCAGCGGCGGCTTTGTCACTCCGCGCCGCTCCGCGCCCGCCTGAGCCTGCCTAGGGGAGCGATCTCAAAACGAGGGGGGTGCGAGTATGCGATTGGAGAATATGTAACTAATAGAAGTATCATTTTCCCCCAGTACGATCTTTCAAGGAAAAAAAAATCCATTGAAAGAATTTTCAAAGTGCTGTCTTCGTTTGGAGAAAAGGCACAGGCTGCCTGCGGGGAGGGGAGGAGGGACTCGGCTGTGTGCCGCCCGGGAGCGGCTCCCGTCCGCTAGGTGGCAGCCGGAGCCAGCGATTCTTGCAAGCCCCGCCGCGGGACCCGCTCCTCCCGCCTGCCCCTCCTCCCGCGACCAATCACCTTCGGGAATCGGGGTCTCGGTCTCTCTTTCTCTCTCTCTCCTCTCTCTCCTCTCTCTCTTCTCTTCTCTTCTCTCTCTCTCTCTCTCTCTCTCTCTCTCTCTCTCTCTCTCTCCCCCCTCTCATTCCCTCTCTCCTCTCTTCTCTCTCTCCCCTCTCTCTCTCTCCTCTCTCAATGTCTCGCTCTCTCTCTCTCTCTCTCTCCTTTCGTCTCCTCTCTCTCCCTCCCCCTCCCCCTTTTCTCTCTCCCTCTCCGCCTCCCCTCCTCTCCATCTTCTCGTTTGTTTGCTCTTTTCCCGGGACTGATTTGGCCACACTAATCTCCCCCCACCCCGCAACAATATGGGGACTTACTACTGTTTTATTAATAATTATTGAAGCATTGTTGGAGTTTGGAACAGCCAGGTAATTTAAAAAAAAAAAAAAAGAAGAAGAAGAAGAAGAAGAAGGAAAAACTGGATTGATTGGAAAGTTTATTTTTAAAATCGTCTTTGGGATAAATAGGAACCCTTGATTCCGATCGAATTTGTGGCAATAGCTGCAAATTCCAGGAGTGTGCTTTGTCGTCATTAAACCTTTTAAACCCAGGTATACTTTGGATCAAAAAATAGGGAGATCCTACCTTGTTTATAACAAGGATATAAAATGAGCAGAATCCAGACTTGGATTGTGCTTATATGTGAGAGAAGAAAACAATCCAAATCCAGTATATTTCACGAATCATTAAAATGGTGGGGGTTTCATTCCCGTTAAAATTTTTTCTAAACATTTTAAATGACACTCTCTTCACGCTCATAAAATCTAATTTTAAAAACTTTTCAGAAGAAATCAAAATAATTTCCTTCTAATTCTCCTTTTGCCCATCGCTAGGCGTTCTCCCCCCCTCGTCATCCCTTCCCCCTCTGGGGTGTATGCGTAAGTGTGTGTGTGTGTGTGTGACCATAGACGACCCATACTAATCAGGTCTCAGAGTAAATAGCAGCGCAGGGCGATCTCAATGTAAATTGCGCTTGTCAGAAACACACCCCCCTCCCTCACTTTCTCTCCTCCTCCCCACACCATCCCAGTCTGTAGGTAGCTAAGAGGGAGGGGGGAAAAAAAGAAAGAAAGCAGAAGAGGAGGGGGGAGGGGCTCTCCAACCAATGGCGTGCAGGAGGCTTGGCTAACCTTAGCCTCCCATTTTCTCTCCCCCCGATTCAGGGCTCTGACCAGTCAGTCGCCTTTGATTATCAGTTGCCAGCAGCCCTTCTCTTGGCTCCTTGACACGAGCTCCATATAAGGCAGCGATCTCCATAGAAACGTGTCAGTTTCAATAGTAGTGTCAAAGTTCACTATATACAGACATTCGCGCAGATCCCCCTTTCGGAAACATTGCTCTGCGAGTCCTCCCGTTTAAACGCATTCAATTTTTGGGTCTCTCTCTCTCTCTTCTCTTCTCTCTCTCTCTCTCTCTGTCTCTCTCTCTCTCTCCTCTCTTTCTCCCCCCTCTCTCTCCCTCCTCTCTTCTCTCTCCTCTCTTCTCTGAACCTCTCTTCTCTCTCCTTTCTCTTTTCTTACATATTCTACTAGTTGTTTTCCCCTTCTTCTCCTTCTTTCTCTCCTTTTTCTCCCTCCTCGTCTCTTTTACTCCATTCCTGCAGAAGAGAGAGGGCTAAACTTAAAGAAAAAAAAAGGAGGAGGAGGAGGAGGAGGAGGCACCCCCTTCGTATTCTTCTTATCGTTATTTTATACATATATGATTTTTTTTGGAGGGAGGGTGTTGGTTCCCGGCTGAAGAGCACTTATTTAAAATACTAAAAAAAGAACATTTTTGGGCGATCTCCAGGGTTTTTTTAACTAGCTCTGTGTGTTATAGCAGAAGAAGCAGAAGAAGGAGCAAGAAAGAGGAAAAGAAGAGGATTATTTATTCGACCTACTTTGGATGTCTCTCTCGCTTTTCCTTTTTCCTTTTTTTGGCAATTATTTTCTTCTGATTTTTATTTTTTCTATTTCGCTGTGAATTCGTCGCCGGCGTGAATTATCCCGTATTTTTTTCCCCCTTCCGTCACCTCCCGAAAGAAGAAGGCAGCTAGAGCCCGGCGCCACCGGCACAACAAAAAGAGCAAAGTGTGTGATCTTCCTCGCCGGCTGCCTCCCGCTCTCCAGCGCTGCCTTCCTGAATGGCTGGCTGCGTCCGGCCCTGGACCTGGCCCCCCGACACCCGCGCGCCCTGA